AATTCCCGGGTTTCTAGGACGCCCAAGAGGGCCCCAGGATGGCCCCAAAAGGGCCTTAAATGGACGTTCAAAAAGGCCCGGAGGGCCATAGTTCGTTGATTTGCGCGAGATGTTGTTGGATTTCTTCCGCGCGGAGGAGACGGAGAGGGCGAAGGAGGAGGAGGAGGAGGAGGAGGAGAGGAGAAGGAGGAGGAGGCAGGGAGGAGGAGTGGAGGGGAGGAGGGGGGGAGAGAGGAGGAGGCTCGAGGGCGATCGACGATCGGCGACGACGACCGGCGACGGTGATTGACGACGACGACGACGACGACGACGACGACGACGACGACGACGACGATCGACGACGGTCGACGACCGACGACGACGACGATCGACGACGATGACAATAGTCGACGGCGCCGATCGACGATCGACGGCGACGACGACGGCCACGCCGACGGCGGCGACGCTGCCCGCGTGACAGCCCAAGAGGCACACAAGACAGCCTCATCGAGGCCCCAGAGGGCCCCAAGACGTCCAAGAGCGCCTCAAGAGGGCCCGAGATGGCTTGAAGATGGCCGAAGAGGGCCCCAAGAGGGCCTCCAAGAGGCAAAACATACAATTTCAGCATACTCGCTTGCTTCGTCCTCAGAGTGGCCCCCGAGGAGTCCCAAGACAGCCCAAGACGGCCCCAAAGGCCCCAAAGCCGGCCCAGAAGGCCCCCAAGACGGCCTCAGGGAGGCCCAAGAGGGCCTCGTTCGAAATCATGTTCCCCGAACTTTCTGCGAGACATGATTTCCGGGTTCCAATGACGCCCAAGAGGGCCCCACGACGGCCCCCAGAGACCCTAAAATGACATTCAAAAATTCCCAGAGGGCCACAGTTCGCTGATTTTCGCGAAATGTTGTTGGATTTCTTCCACGCGGAGGAGACGGAGAGGGCGAAGGAGGAGGAGGAGGTGGAGGAGGAGGAAGGGGGAGGAGGAAGAGGAAAAGGAGAAGGACGAGGCGGGGAGGAGGAGTGGAGGGGAGGAGGGGGGGAGAGAGGAGGAGGAGGAGGAGGCAAGAGGGCGATCGACGATCGGAGACGACGACCAGCGACGGTGATCCACGACGACGATGACGACGACCTCGACGACGACCGATGACGATCGACGACGATGACAATAGTCGACGCCGCCGATCGATGATCGACGGCGACGACGACGACGGCCACGCCGACGGCGGCGACGCTGTCCGACAGCCTCAGCGAGGCCCAAGAGGGCCCCAAGACGTCCAAGAGCGCCTCAAGAGGGCCCGAGATGGTTTGAAGCTGGCCGAAGAGGGCCTTCAAGAGGCAAAAATCGGCCCATTCCCGTTGTACAACGTACGTTTTCAGCATACTTGCTTGCTTGGTCCCACAGACGCCCCCGAGCCCCAAGACAGCCCAAGAGTCGTCCTGTGAGGTTCACGGAACCCCCAAGACGGCCCAAGAGGCCCCAAAGTTGGCCCAGGAGGCTCCCAACACGGCCTCAGGGAGGCCCAAGAGGGCCTCGTTCGAAATCATATTCCCAGAAGCCTCTCCGGGAGCATGATTTCCTGGTTCCCAGGACGCCCAAGAGGGCCCTAAGACGGCCCCGAAAGGCCTTAAATGGACGTTCAAAAAGGCCCGGAGGGCCATAGTTCGTTGATTTGCGCGAGATGTTGTTGGATTTCTTCCGCGCGGAGGAGACGGAGAGGGCGAAGGAGGAGGAGGAGGAGGAGGAGGAGGAGGGAGGAGGAGAAGGAGGAGGAGGCGGGGAGGAGGAGTGGAGGGGAGGAGGGGGGGAGAGAGGAGGAGGCTCGAGGGCGATCGACGATCGGCGACGACGACCGGCGACGGTTATTGACGACGACGACGACGACGACGACGACGACGGTCGACGACCGACGACGACGACGATAGACGACGATGACAACAGTCGACGTCGCCGATCGACGAACGACGGCGACGACGACGACGGCCACGCCGACGGCGGCGACGCTGTCCGCGTGCGCAGAGCCACCCTGGACCCAGTCTTTTCTGCATCGTTCGAAATCCTGTCCCCGGAAGCGTCTCCGGGAACATGATTTCAGGAGGAGGAGGAAGAGGAAGAGGAGGCAGATTAGGAGGAGGAGGAGGAGGAGGAGGAGGAGGAGGAGGAGGAGGAGGAGGAGGAGAGGAGGATGAGTGGGCGGGAGGGCTCGGGGCCGATCGACGATCGGCGACGGTGATCGGCGACGGTGATTGACGATGACGACGGCGGTCGTCGACGGCGACGACCGACGACGACGACGATGGACGACGATGACAACAGTTGACGCCGCCGATCGGGGAACGGCGACGACGACGACGTCTTCGCAGTGCCACCCCGAGGAGCCCCAAGACGGCCCAAGAGGGGCCCAAGATGACCCATGATAGCTACAAGCCAGCCCACGAGAGCCCCAAAAAGCACCCAACAGAGCCACAACGGGGACAAGCAGAGCTGCCTATAGAGATTCTCGGGAGGCCTCTTCCGCAGCGTCCGAAATCATGTTCCCCGAAGCCTCTATCGGAACATGATTTCGGGGTTCCCAGGACGCCCAAGGGGGCCCTAAGACGGCCCCGACATGTCCTAAAAGGACGCTCGAAAAAAAACCCGGAGGGACACAGTTCGTTGATTTCCGCGACATGTCGTTGGATTTCTTGCACGCGGAGGCGGTGGAGGAGGAGGGGGGAGAGGAAAGGAGGAAGAGGAGATGGACGAGGAGGAGGAGGAAGAGGAAGACGAGGGCGGGGGAGGGGGGTGGAGAGAGAAGGGGGACGGGAGAAGGAGGGAAGAGGGGCGATGATGATGAGGATGATGATGTTGATGGTAACGACGATGATGATGACGATGATGATGCTGATGATGATGATGATGATGATGAATGGGGAGGAGGAGGAGGAGAGGAGGAGGAAGGGGGAGGAGGAGGAAGGAGGAGGAGGAGGGGGAGGAGGGGAGGAGGAGGAGGAGGAGAGGAGGAGGAAAGAGGAGGAGGAGAGGAGGAGGAGGAGGAGGATAAGGACGAGGAGGGAGGAGGGGGGCGGAGGAGGAAAAGGAGGAGCAGGAGGAGGGGGGGAGGATGTGGAGGAAGAGAGAAAAGGAGGAGGAAAGCAAGGGGGGCCTCCCCCGAGTGTTCCCTTGATCCGACGTGGCCCAATGCTTGCGCGGCGTCGAAGTGCCGTTTGGCGAGCCATGTCGTCTGAACAGGAGGAGGAGAAGAAGGAGGAGTGAGAGGAGGAGGAGGAGGAGGGGAGGAGGAGGAGGAGGAGGAGGAGGAGGAGGAGGAGGAAAGGAGGAGGAGGAGAGAGAGGATGGAGGAGGAGGAGGAGGAGGAGGAGAGGAGGGGGAGGAGGAGGAACATGATGAAGCTGATGATGGTGATGGTGATGATGATGATGAGGAGGAGGAGGAGGAGGCGGAGGAGGAGAAGGAGGTGTGGGGGAGGAGGAGGAAGAGGAGGAGGAGGATGAGGGACAGTAGGAGGAGAAGGAGGAGGAGGCGGAGGAGGAGGATCAGGAAAAACATGAGGAGGAGGGAAAGGAGGAGGAGGGGAGGAAGGGGGCGGAGGAGGAGGAAGGGGGGAAAGGAGGGGACGATGGGGGGGGGAGGAAGAGTAGGAGGAGAGGGGGAAGAGCAGGGGGAAAGAGGAGGACGAGGAAGAGGTGCCGTTTTTGGCCGCCTCGGGCCGCCTGGGGGTGAGGAGCGCCCAGGAGCTTTTCGAACCACGACCACGAAACTCGACGAATAACCGAAGCGCATTCAGCCTTCAACCTCCTCGTCCGTTGTTTGGCCGTTGCCCTGGGCGAAGCTAGAACCTCAGCGCGCGCGTAGCGCGCTCGTGGTTCTAGTATATGTATCTGTATATGTATATATATATATATATATAGATATGTACACATACAGCACCTCGCCTGCTTCGTGGTGAATGGCTGCGGTGGACAAGCTCACGCTGCCTTCGGTGGTAAATAATGGGAGTTTTGTGTTTCTAGGTAATTCCGTGTGTAGAGTGCGCTCGCGCGTGCTAGCGTCCGGCCATCGATGAGAGAGCGCCGATGTAGCATCGATCAGCGCCGATTTAACGTCGACAAGCGTCGGCGAACGTCGATTTAGCGCCGACATAGTGTCGATTCGCGTCGTACAGTGCCGAGTTGCAAGAGCCAGCAAGATGGCATGGCAGCATAGTAGAGTAGAGTCGGGTAGAGTAGAGTAGAGTTGAGTAGAGTAGAGTAAGATAGATGGAGGAGAAGAATCGGGGATAACTGAGTATAACAGAGCAGAGCGGAGCAGAGTCCGCCCCAGTCCAGTCCGGCCTGCTCCAGCCCAGTCTACTGCAGTCCACTCCAGTCCACTTCGTTTCCGTCTCCGAGGCTCCCACGAGTCGCCACCCAAGTTCAGCCACGCGGAGAGGGGGGGGGGGCGGAGGGGGGAGGGCTCCTTAGAGGCAGCCCTGCTCCTCAGAGAAGTCGCGGGCCCCACCTATAGCTGCGAAGGCCGGCGCCTTCTAAGAGGCAGCCTCCTCCTAAGAAGCCCCCCCCGCTCCCTCCACCCCTCAAGCAGTAGCGAAGCGTCCTGGCGTACCTATAGGCCGACCAAACAATGGTCTAAGAACCTTTGGTTGTGGTTTCCACGGAATGTTCTTAGAACGTGACTGGCTGGGACTGTCTTGTTTGGACACATCGGGCTTATGTTCGAAACACATTGTTCTTGTCGTCCTTCGGACATGTTTGGGGTTCTAAGCACATGTCGTGGTAGGCCTATAGGAGTGCCAGCACGGTCGGTCCCTGCTCACACCCCCTACTCGAGAAGTCGGCATTACCGATGTCGAATCTTGCCGCCGCATCAGATGCGCGCGCGCCGGCGCGTCAGGCCAAGGGCAAACGGGCATCCCACTCGAGTCTGGATGGCGCGGGCGATCGAACAGTTCTGGCGGAGCGAAGGAGGCAAGAAATGGGAGAACCAGAAGTGCCCAACCCCCGCGGTGCGGACCGCCGGGGAGAGCGAGGTGCGGACCGTGCGGTGCGCACCGCCGAGAAGCTGCCGCCGGCACTCGCTCGGAGGACCCATCGGCCCTCCGCGGCGCGCGCCCTTCGGGACGGCGAGCTGCTGCTCCGCGTGCCCGCGGCGGCATGCTGGTCCGTGGGCGCGGCGCGCGGGCGCCTGGCGCCCTTTGCTGCCGCGGGCGGGGCCCGCGGGGGGGAAGGCCGGAGGAGGGTTTCGTCCCAGGCCCGCTCGAGGCGTGAAGTAGAGGGCACTCAGGAGGGAAAAAAATACACACACATACACAATGAATCGTCGATCCCTCAGAACATAGGGGGAAATATGGGAAGTGGGGGGGGGAGACAAAAGCCGAGAAGATATGGGAAAATATAGGGAATCCTTTTATTTGTGTGTATTCATTTTGTGTGTCCCAGGGCCCCTTCAGTCACGGCGGACCGTTTGTGTGTTCTGCACGTGCGGCCTTTCTTCGGAGGAGGAAGAGGTACCCATACCTCTAACCTGCCCTCGTTCTCCCCTTTTTGGGCCTCCGTGGCCTCCGTCGTCGCCAGTGCTGGATCCTGGTCAGAACGCACCCCAGGAGAGATCCGGGGAGTAGCGGTATCGGTACCTTTTGGTTTCCCCATTTTGAGGGCCCGTGCCGGGCCTCGGGATCGTCGGGCCAGGCGGCTCGGGAAGAGAAAAACAGGTCCCGAGGGATCAAGCAGTGGCGAAGCGTCCTGGCGTGCCTATAGACCTACCAAACAATGTTCTGAGAACCTTTTTGTGGTTTCCACGAAATGTTCTTAGAACATTTCTGACTGGGACTGTCTTGTTTTGTCACATCCGGTTTCTGTGCTAAGAAAATCATTGTGGTTCTTGGAAGACTTTGGGGTTCGAAGAACATGTCGTGGTAGGCCTATAGGACTGCCGGGACGGTCGGTCCCTGCTCCGAGGAAGGGGTCGAGACCTCTGGGGGTCGGCGTCGTGGCGAGCTGATCACGACGTCCGGGGGTTTGGGGGTCGAGGCCACGGCGGCCCTCGCTGGAGGCGGTGCCTGTTTCTTCAGGGCCCAGCGGTCGTCCGGGCTATCGGGCCCGCCCGCCCGCCGCTCCCCCCCCCGCCGGTCCCCCCCCTCCGGAGAAGCTGACCTTGTCGGTTGCGCATGTCCTGAGGGGCTGCCCAAACCGAAAATGTTTGCTTATCGGCCGTTGCCTCCCTCTCCCCACGGGATAACCTGGTCAACCACCGAATACATATATATAGAGAGAGATATATAGATGTACATGTATATATATGTGTATATGTAAGTATGCATGTATACATATATAGTTATATGTATACACGCAGTTGTATATATATATATATATATATCATGTATATATATATAAATACAGATACATATACATAATCACACACATGCACATATATATATATATATACACACATATATATGAACAGAAAGCACGGCCTCGGTCGAGGCAACGGCGGCCCTCGCTGGCGTCATCCACCCGTCTTGGGCTTCGATCGTGCTTTCTATGTGGTGCACCCGCCCCCCGACAAGGGGGCGGTGCAATAGATTTGGTGTAATCGATTTGTGGGGTTGCAGTACTTTTGGGGCGTTCAATGCGTTCCGGGGCGCAAGTGTATTGCTGGACTTTCGCGTGCAATAGATTGCTTGCAATACAATGCGATACAATTCTCCGGCGCAGTACATTTGCAGTATCATTGCCCCAAATCTATTGCACCACCCCCTTTCAGCTGGATCCCCTGTCGTGTGTGCGTGAACCGTTCTGGCAGGCATGCTCCGGAGCTTTCACAAAAGCATGCGGTGGCGCTCGCCCCTCCCCCACCCCCTCCCCCCCTAAATATCTGGGCCAAGCGGAGAGCGGCCCGTGTCTCGGTCGGCCCTCCTCCGAGAAGAGCACTGCCCCGAAGCGCTGATCGCCGCCCACCTCATGCTGGTAGGGCTTGGCGCTGCGGGCAGGCAGCCGCCGCCCCCCCCGCCCCCCCAGGCCGTCCTGGCTGGCCTGCCTCAACGCACCCCCCCCCCGAGTAGCCCCGGGGCGGTCTCAACACACCGCCGCCGCGGCTGGCGGCGCTCCTGGGCCTTTCCGCGCACAAGGGCTGGTGCGGTTTATGCTGCATCCTCGGGGGGCTTTGTCTGTCCCGGCGCGGCCCTCTCCGCGTCGAATCAGTGTCGAATCCATGTCGGACTCGCCGGATCCGTGTCGAATCCTTGTCGAATTCGCATCGAATGAACCCATGCCAAATCCGCGTCGCGTCCGCATCGAGCCCGCATCGGGCACAAGAAAAGAGACAAATGTTTGGGACAGGCGAGGTCCCCCGAAAATTCAACGTAATGTGGTGAGACCGCCAAGGACTATTCGGGGGCCCGTTTCGGCCACGCGCAGAGGGGCATAGTCAGAGGGGGGAAAGCTTCTTTGGAGTACTTCTTGGAAGCCGCGGGCCTTCTCTATGTATGTAAGGCCAGCGCCTTCTCGGAAGCAGCCTCCTTCTACGGTGGGGGCGTTGGTTAAGGAACGTGCCCAGGAAGCTTTAGACCCTAGGGGATGCCTTATCCGATGAAGGCGGCAGCGATATCCATGCCCGATCCACTATGGGATTTCCACTGGCTTCCAGACCCTGGGTGGGATTTCCACTGGCTTCCAAACCCTGGGTTCCTTATCCAATTGTTCCTTATCCAATGCCCTCACCGTGCCCCCCTCTGCGCGCCGCCAACCGTTGAGGCCAGCCAGGGCTGCCCTGGGGGTTTGCCGGTGCGCCGGTGCGCAGCCTCCTAAGCCTTGCCAGCTCATGCTCGAGGTCGCCGGCGTGCCGCGCCTGGAGGACGATTCGAGGAAGAGAAAACGCCTTGTGAGAATTCAGCGGTTCGAGGACGATTCGATCCACGATTCGAGGAAGATTGGCGACGAGAGGTCCGATCGACGATTCGAGGAAGAGTGCGCAAACATGAATTTTCGGAGCTCCGCGTGGATTTCTTGGATCGGGGCTGGGCCATCCTGGCGGCGACGCTCCCTGCGCGCTCCGCGCGCCTGTGTGTGTGTGTGTGTATATGTTTTGCTGGCCTTCGGCTCCCTTGCGCCTTGTCCTGCCCTTCTGCCGGTCTTCTGGCCTTGGCATCGCTGTAGTTTCCACTGTGCCCCTCTGTCGCCCTCCTGGCATGCCGCTTCATCGCCAGTGGCCCCTGCGTCTGCCTCGCCTGCCCCCCCGGTCATCCATGCCCGGATGACCTCTGGCTGGCCGCGGCGCTGCTCGCCCTGGGAGGCGCGAGGGCTCGGCCGTCAGTCGTGCGCGCGCGCGTTCTCCTCTCCGACGTTCGACGCACTGTTGCTGCGCGCGGGGCTGCGACGCCCAAAAAGTGTGTGTGTGTGTGTGTGTGTGTGTGTGTGTGTGCGTGTGTGTGTGTGTGTGTGCGTGTGTGTGTGTGCCCTCCCTGCTATCCACGCCCGGATGGCCGATGCCGGCAGGAGGCATCCGAAGCGATGCGGAGGGCCCGGCCGCCGCGCGCACTGTCTGCTCGCAGTCTCCGCCTCGCCGCTGCGCACGAGGCCGCTCCGCCAAATTGTGTGCGCGCGTCCAGCGCAAATCCCAGAGGATCCACGCGGACCTCCGAAAGCGCATGTTTCGAGAGCCCCGAATCATCAGGGGTAACTCGGGTCAGGGCTAACTCGGGTTCGCTTTTCGGGATTCCGAACCCGAGTTAGCCCCGGGCCCGAGTTACCCCGGATAACTCGGGCGTCCAGAGCCCCAAATCATCAGGGGTAACTCGGGTCAGGGCTAACTCGGATTCGCTTTTCGGGATTCCGAACCCGCGTTACCCCGGACCCGAGTTACCTCGGATAACTCGGGCGCCCAATGTTTGCGCAATCTTCTCTCCGACCCAGCCGGTGTCGTGATTTCTTCCCCGACGGGGTGCCCAGAAGTCTCGGCTTTCGTCCCGAGCTGATGTTTTGTCCACGGTCCTGGTGCCTGGCGAGGGCCCGTAGAGGCCGAAGGTCGCAAAAAGCCGCCCATCATGATTTTTGCCACGAAGCGAGGGTGTCTGGCCGAAATCGAAGAAAAACACCCAGATTGAACACTTTCGGGTCCCCGCGAGGAGTTCCGAAAGTGTATGTTTATGCTGTTTTTGATGACCGCACAGGCCCCCCATCCCAGCCAGGACCCCAACTCCTGACCTAGGGGTCCATGGGGTCTGGCTGCGGTGAGGGTGGTTTGTTGGCCCCCAAGAACCTTCAAACGCCACCTCCACCCCCAGCCAGGACCCCCTGGATCACCAGATCAGAAGTGGTCGGGCGAGGCTAGGACGAGGATACGTCCGTTTCAGAGCGTTCTGGAACGCTTTCAGAGTGCTCTGGAACGCTTCGAGAAGGCCGCGGCGCCCGATACATCCTCCAAAGCTGCCAGATCTCAGAGATTCTCGATTCATCATCACCCGATGTTATCCTCATCCTGGCTTCGGTCTAATTAAGTGGGGTTTCTGGCTGGGGGTGGCAGTGTGTTGTGCTGCCCTCGTTTTTCTCCTCGGATTGGCGGCGACAGCGGGCGCCGCTGCGACGCGCTATACCAAATTTCCCGACCGTCGTTTGATGCCGGTTTTTTCTCCTCGGGCGGGGGATGACGCGAGGGGGACTTGCCGGAGGCGAGGAAGAACGCTCGGATGGAAGACAATCGGATCTCCGCGCGGGGCTCCAACAGTTTATGTCTACGCCGTCTTTGGAGAGTGTTTCTTTTGACGCGCGTCATGATCTCCCCCACCACCCCCCCTCTCTGCCCCCCAGAACGCAACGCTCCCCCCCGGTACGTCTGAGTACGTCCTCGGCACCGTCCAAGTGCGTCTGGCGCCACAGCCTGCCGGGGGCACGGGCGTTGCGTCATGCCCTCCGCCCGCCCCCCCTCTCTCCCCCCCTCCACAGCGCCCACTATCGCCAGAGCGGCCTAACCCCGTGACGCCGCCCTCGCCTCGGCCCGAGGCGTACGTGCGCGGCGGGAGGGAAGTCTGAGAGGCGAGGGAGGCGTCACCAAAGGGGGAGGTTTGCTTGCTGTAGGGGTCGCTTCGGCCGCGCCTGGCCTCCCCCCGCGGTCGCCGCGGATCCAAACATGTTCTGCTCTTCCTCGGACGGAGGACGACGGCGGGCGCTCGCCCCCGTCGCTCGCCCGCGACGCCTGCAGGGCCGCGCACCTGGCGCTGTTGCCCGGCAGCGCTGGGGCGGCCAGCGCTGCGCGGCGGAGGGCCCGCGGGGAGGCCGCCGAGTGGCCCGCGGAGCCAGGCTCGCCATGATCGAAGAAGAATAATAAGAAAAAAATATAATATTAATAATAATAATAAGAAGAAGAAAAATAAGAATCATAAGAAGAAGAAGAAGAAGAAGAAGAAGACGAAGAAGAATAATAAGAATAATAAGAAGTGCCATAGGCAGAACATGTTTGCGTTCCGCGCGGAGTTCTGGGATCCACGCAGGGCCCCCCCCGGCCGGCGCCTCCGGCGCGCTCCGCGCGCCCGGGAGGGGGGCCACAGTGCAGATCGAAGAAATCCGCGCGGAGCGCCAACAGTTTATGTTTATGGTGTTTTATGTTTTTGTTTGTTTTGTTGTTGTTGTGTTGAATTCTCATTTCTACATCACAATTATTGTTGATCCCCCCTCACCGGTGCATGTTGTTTTTTCTGCATCGAAGTGTGCCCCTCGACGCTCGCATTTTGTTTTTTTGACCGGGAAAGTTGGTGTTTAACTGTGCCCCTGGCCCCCCCGATTGGAACAACAACGGCTCCCGCCTGAGACTTCCTCCAAATTTACTCAGGACCCCCGCTCCCGTCTGAGACTTCCTCACAATTTACTCAGGGTCGGTGCTCCTGCTTGTGACATCCTCGCAATGTAGTCAGGACCCCCGCTCCCATCTGAGACTTCCTCACAATTTACTCAGGAACGGCGCTCCCGCTTGAGACTTCCTCGCAATTGAGTCAAGATTTCTCCGCAATTTAATCAAGAACCCCGCTCCCGCCACAGAACTCCTTACATTTTATTCAGGAATTGCGCTCTCGCTTATGACTTCCATGCAATTTATTCAGAAATCGCGCTTTCGACGCTCAGGAAACACGCTGCGCCAAGGACGCCGTCACAATTTACTTAGGAATCGCGCTCTCGCCATACTCAGGTATCCCGCTTGAATGTCCCACCCGCCCGACCCGCCCGTCAGGGGATCGTCCGCCCGTCGTGGGCTCCCGCCCGAGACTTCCTTCAGGAGCGGCGCTTTCGCCTAGGACATCCTCGAACGTTTACGCTCTTACCTTCCTGCTGCTCCTTCCTCTCCCTCCTCCCTCCTTCCTCCTCTCCTCCCTTCTCTCTCCCTTCTCTCTTCCCTCATCCTTGTGCCTCTCTGCCCTATCCTCTCCTCCCTTCTCCCTCCCCTCTCCTGCCTCCTCCCTCTTTTTTTTGTTTAATCTCTCTCTCTCTCCCTCTCTCCCCTCTCTCTCTCTACCTCTCTTTTTTTTGTTTCTCTCTCTCTCTCTCTCTGCCTCTAATCAACCGCCCCCCTCTTCGCTTCCTTCTCTCCTGGCGTTTTCCTTCTTCCTTCGTCCCTCCCCGACCTGTCCTCCCACTCTCCTTCGTTCTCCCCCACCTCTTTTTGCAGGGCCCACACCAATTCCAATGACGGGCACATGTACGCCCACGGAGGAGTGTCCGCCCGTTCAGGTTTGCCCGCCTGTCTAAGCCCGCCGCCCCCCGCAAAGAGAAATAATCCCCCAAAGGGGGTGTGAACGAAAACAAAAAGGCGGGCATCGAGGGGGTGGGGAACTGGTTTTGATTGACACACGGGCAAGTAGGAGCGAACTGTCTTATACTGATTTTTGTTGTTGTGATTGTTGTCGGTATTGTCTTGATTGTTGTTGGCGGTGGTGTCGGTGTTGGTGTTGTTGCTGCTGCTGTTGCTGTTGTTGCTGTTGTTGTTGCTGCTGTAGTTACTGTTGTCGTTGTAGTTGTTGTTGTTGGTGTTGGTGTTGCTGTCGTTGTTGCTGATGTTCGTATTCTTCATATTGCTGTTGATGCTGCTGCTGTTGGTGTTATTGTTGTTGCTGCTGCTGTTGCTGCTGTTGTTGCTGCTCAGAAGCATTATTGGATTTCTTCGACATGAGGGAATGTCAGAGAGGAGATCGGGTCGCGGCGAGGGTCCCTGAGGTCCTGGCGTCTCAATCTCGGCACGCTGGGCGTTCTCGCGCCTTTTGGGACATGCAGCCGAAAGATGGGGTCTTCCTCCTCCTCGTCCTCCTCCCCATCCTCCCCCTCCATCTCCAGCACCTCCTCCTCCTCCTCCTCCTCCTCCTCCTCCTCCTCCTTCTCCTCCAAGCCCACGATGGCACAGGCACACGGCTGACCAGGGCTGGTCTGGCCTCGGTATCGAAACTTAGTTTCGACCCGTTTCGCCTTGCCTCGTCACGCGATCGGATGGGTGTCGGTGTGGTTGTTCTCATGCCGACACTTCTTCGGATCCTGGGCTACAACCCCATGTTTGCCACGGGAGATCGCCTCTAGGAGGTATTGGAGGAGACTCGCAACTTCGACATCTTGCTCCTTGCAGGGGCGAGGGGAGGGACTCCGTTGCGCGGCGCCCAGGCGCTGCGGGGGCGGCGCGGCGGCAGGTTGGCCTTCGAGGCCCCCCCCACCAGGCCACGGCCCCTCTCTCCACCCCTCACTGTGGAATATTGATAGCGTTGGGCCTCCACTATGTCGAGAATGGTATCAAGAGAATCTGGGGGAGCCCTGCAGACGCTGCTGGCCGTGCACTCGCTGTCCGAGTCAAACACGGGCCCGCCGACTTCTGCGCTATCAACACTTATTTCCCGCCTATACCTGCCAAAGGAAGTAAGGCCGTTCGTTCTGCGTATTATAAGACACTGTCGGTCCTGATAGAGTGGCTGGATTCGGTGATCTGTGACTTACCCGCCCGCTGCGTCCCTTCCCTCTACTCGGATGTAAATGATGGGATGGGAGGACGGTTCAGGCAGGGGGTGTATGAGAAGCTACCAACGGGCGCGGTGAATGCCGACACGCTCGAGCGTCTTCCTGATGGGGCGGGTGAGCGATTCCGTGGGCTGCTCGGAAAAAAAACACCATGTGATCGCGGGGAATGCACAGCAGAGGGCCGAACACATTTTTTTCGGGAATACTTCTTCGAGCTGTATGGATTTCGTCTGTTATCCACAAGGGTTAGCACATCTTACTCGGCATTGCCATCCATTACGTCGACTAGGAGCTAAATTGCAGCCTATCAGGGGGGCCCCATCCTCGGGATCGTCTGCCTGTGGTGCTCAGTGTGGAGTTCAATAACGGTGGGTTGATTCGTCCTGCTGGTGATAGGACCCGTTGGGATTATGATGGCATGATGGAGGGGCTCAGATCAGGGAGGGGGGGGGGGGGATGGGAATTTATAAAGACCGTCAATGAGGAGCTGGTGGGGGCAGGAGTCCCTTATCTTCGTGACTACGCGCCCCCAGGCGAGATATTTGAGATTTCGGAGGGGGCCTTGGTTCGGGCGGGGCAGGCGCACTTCTCGGGGGGCACTCAGAGGCGAGCAGGGCATGGGGAGGACTGTTAGCGCCGCCGGAACCTGCTTCGTCAGCGCGTCGGGCTACGAGGTCGAAAGGAGGAGGGGGGCGAGGAGGGGGCCGAGGCGATCGATGCTCAGGTGAAGGCCCTTTCAGCCCAGCTCCACAAGGAACGTCGGCAACGCCTGCGTCAGTTTCGTGCCAGATTGCTCCAGGAAGCCAGTGAATGTTGGGCCAGGGGGCGTACCGCGGAGGCGATGAAAGCTTCCCGACGTGCTGCTCGTTGTCGGTATGGGCCGACGCGTCGATATGCACGATTGGCCACCAGTGCGCCCCCAGATGCTGAGGACTGGCTCCACGTGTGGCAGAAACCTGGCAGCGAGGGCGGCATGCAGGTTGAACCGATCTTCTGGGAGGGGTGGAGAGCTGAGAGGGGGGGCGAGACGTGCGATTACGAGATCGACGACCCCAAGCTTGCCTCCTTAGTTAAGACTGATGTCCAGAACCTTCGTTCTTATGTCAGGGACGCGCCCAGGAGGCGCGTGGTCCCAGAGGGCGCTGCCCCTCTCGAACTCTGGCATATGTGTCTCTTTCCTCGGTGGCGAATGCAGCAGAACCTAGGCGTGGGCGCGAGCGAGGACCCCCCCGACAACAAGACCCTGTGGTTTCCTCTTGCACGTTGGACTCTTGAAGATTCGACGGCGTAGCATTGCCCCCCTGTGCTGGCGCCGCAGTCAGGCCGCGGCGCTCCCGAAGTCATTGATGGTGGGCCTTCTGGGCAAGCGTGTCGTGCATGTGCTCCCGGCGATAGGGGAAGGATATTATTCGAAGAAGTTGCGACCAACGCCCTCTATCCAGGGCCGCGGGTGTGCGCTGGGTCGACGGCGTGAGAACGCAGTACTTATGTCTAATTGTACGATGTGGCGTTTACGAGCGGCGTCAAGGACTCATTGTATATGTATGAAAGACATGTCGAATGCATTTACGAGTAGCGCGCACGAGTCGATGGACACTACCGCAGGTATATATTGTGCGGACCACGGTGTTGCAGTATGTCGTCAGCGCTATCGGAACTCAGCGATTGAACTCCCGACGAGCGGGGCCCGATGCACAGTTCAGCCGAAGCAAGGGGGGGCGATGGGTGATCCTTACATTGTCGACATGTTTCTGGCCGCATTCTCGAGGCCGATCCTGGGACGGGGACGAGAGCTCTGGAGTCGGGACCCAAGTGCTAAGGATCTCACCGCACAGTGGAGCGACATCAGGGCAGGCCTCTCGTTGATTAAGTACGCTGACGACTTGAATAAGGTCATCTTAGCAGATTTTGGGACTTCACTGGAAGGGTTTCTTGGGGAGATCAGATTGCCGGGCGAGATCTTGAATGAAAAGTTGGCTCACTTCGGGCTCGGTCAGAACATGTCTAAACAACATTTGCTTTTCCACCTCTCGAGGTTGTCACATACGTGCAAGAAGATAGTTCGGGACCATCCTCGGCTTACGGAGGGCGCTCCCAAGGATGAGGCTAGGTACCTGGGCCCGTTCCTCGTGCAACGTGAGTCCGCCGCTCATGAGATCGGGAAGCGCCTCGTCGCTGCCAGGAGCACTTTTCATAGCCTGGGGGGTGTCTGGTCCTTGCCGTTACCATATATGTGGAAGCGGGTGCTGTTCCTGGGATTCTCTCAGAACGCAATCTCAAGTGGGCTGGAATCCTTTGCATTATCTAAGGTG